CTAAGAAGCTAGGGTCCAAATTAGGCAACAAATCTGCATAATTTACTATAAGATTTTTGAGAGTTGCATGACAGACATTGGACTAATGTAAAAATAAAGTTAAGGAAAATAATGTATTTATTGGCAAGGACTACACTAAAAGTGCATGCATAACTGAAAACCCTTTTAACTACAGTTTTAATTTTTAAAGATATTTCATTACAATTTAAACAATGTTTAAAAATTCAAAAGGTTATTTTTGGGTTAGATTAGCTATAAGAGTTTAATAAGTTGAGCATTAAACAAATAGTTCTGGGTGTTCTTTACATATGAATGCCTCTCTGGTGTTCAAATAATTCTATCAGTGTTAGCCAATTCATAATGATCGTTATTGGTAGAAATAATCATCAAAATGCAAAGTGACTAAAATCCACCCAGCAAAATTTGTCTCAGCAAAAAAAAGGAAAAAGGGAAAACAAAACCAGCTCTTATGTGTAAGGTTAAAAACTGCAAGAAGCCATGCTGAATCACATAGTTCTACATCATGGCCATACATAAAAAACTACAGTGGCAGATGTGAAAAATCAATAAAATTGGACATCGATCACTTTTAAATTAAACTCTCATTGGGCAATGAATGTACAAATGTGCTTTATACAATTGATGCATGTATGGATTGTGATAAGAGTTGTATGAGCCCCTAATAAAATGATTAAAAATAAATAAATAAAAATAAAGTGTTGAAAAGCAAAAAAAAAAATTAAACTCTCATTGTAAAGTTTGCCTTGCAAATAATTGATCCACCTACACATAATTTCTCATAAAATGAAAATAGAAGAAAAAATCAGAAAACTGAACAGAAAATTGTCCCCAATGAAAATCCACCAACATCGGAACAGTTCTAGTTGTATTTATAAAGTGAAGACAAAATGACTTTGGAGATTAAAACTCCAGGTCAAAAACACCCAAAGGGTGTATCAAGCACTTAGCTCAGACATCATGCATGCACCTCTCATGTGATAGGGACTCAGTAAACACCAGATGGCTTCAAAAAGATAATTTCTCCTCTACTCCCTCTGACTGGTTTCCCTGGTAGCCCACATTATGGGATTAAGTGTACCCTGACTGGGGAGAGGAAAAGTAATGACTGTTCAGAAACCCCTATCGATGGCACAAAGGCTGCAAACTGAAAAAACTAAACTGAGAGAGGAATGTACTACTGCACCGCCAGCAAGGGGGAGACAATAATTATTTAAATGCTGATGGAGAACTGATTCCTCTATCCAATTTACCAGCGCACGGGGCTCTTGAAATAATGTGAAATCATATTTTGATGGTCATTATGTTTCACAGGAAGACATTTTGCCTTTGTTTCTGATTTATCTTTAAATGAAGCAGCTGAACTTTTATGCAGTTGAATCCCAAATGAAGCAGATGAACCTCACATCTTCAAATTCCCAGAATGATCTTCATTTCTAACACGTCATTCCAGTCTCTAAATATCTCTTCCTCCTCAGACTGTGTATGTTCTAATCACTTTAGGATTAATATAATAAGATCGTCTTGGTACATCTCAAGCTTCTTTGACTGCCTCTTGTTTAATTCTCAGTGATTTGAAGGCAACATCTGTCCCACAAGTATCTTTTTGTTTGGCCCACAAGGTGTTTTTAGAATTATTAAGTAATTTGCAAATTCAGACATTTGCACCTAAAATTTCAGATTTCTGGCTTCTGCTAAAAAGTTTACAGGATCTGGCAACACTGGCTCCACACTACCAGTTACAGTTTATATTATATGTTTGATTGCTGTTCTTGTTATGGAGGGGGAAAAGTGAAAAGGTCATTCTGTAAGCCAATACATTACATTTACAGTTTTACTGCCTGGTGCCAGTGGCCATATGAGTGTGTTACCTAATCCTACCCTGTTTCCCCGAAAATAAGACCACTAGGTCTTATTTTCAGGGGATGCCTTATTTTTCCATGAAGAAGAATATGGTACACATTTATTGTTGTTTTATTAAAAGAGACCTCGCACTTCCTGTCTGCTCCGGCTGCGCTGTGGCCAACAGTGAGCTGCGGGCGTCACCCGCCGCTACAGTCCAGAGTTACGGTAGCTTGGGGGGGGGCTTGTTTTCGGGGGGATGCCGTATATTTCAGCGAAAGGTAAAACTGTAAGTAGGTCTTATTTTGGGGGGATGTCTTACTTTCGAGGAAACAGGGTAGGGTGTTCTAGGAAGTATAGTTAACTGCACCTGTTATCGATCCTTCAGTTTCCTCGTCTTGAAAATAGGGATAGTAACAAGATTGAGTTAATAAGGGGAAAATGCTTAAGACAGTAACTGAAATTTCAAAATGGCCCAAGGACTATGTCTATTGTAGGAGTATTTATGGTCAAATCCCAATGTCCAGCACAAGGCCTAGAACAAGTGGCATTAATGATTGCTTTTGCCGGGGAAGGAGGGGGAAGAAATGGGAAGCTGATATCAGGGGCTTAAGTGGGAAGAGAATGCTTTAAAAATGATGATGGCGGCATATGTGCAAATGTGCTTGACACATTGGAGGAATGTATGGATTGTGATAAGAGATGTAGAGTCCCCAATAAAAGTAATTTTTAAAATTAATTTTAAGTACAATAAAAGGGAGGAAAATTAAATAAAATATATGGGAGAACCTAATAATCTAGCAGTGCTTAGAGCAAACCCGACACAGGACGCAGACAACCATATTATATGAAAAGTTGTTCAATCTAGCAAGGCTGTGTTCTAAGATGAATGTTAAGCCTGGAATAGACGGGGTGGGCGCAGGCAGGGAGGGCAGTGGGCACCATTCTCAGATCTTTGGAAAGGCTGCCAAAGGGAAGAGAACATAGCATTCTTACACCTTCACGAGAGCATGTGGCTACACTTGGCCCTTTATGGAAAAGAAAACAAGCAATCCCACGAAGTGCAGCGAGGCTGGTCCTCTGAGTCGAGTCCTCTCTGGGGTGTGCAAATTTGCCAGGACAGGGATGTCAAAGCAGAAATTCTCCCGTAGCGCTCCTGAACGAAGCTTTAGGTAGCGCAATGGTTAGAACACTTGGCTGCTAGCTGAAAGGCTTCAAACCCACCAGTAGTTCTGCTTCAGGAAAGATGTACAGCCTTAGAGACCCTATGGGGCAGTTACATCCTGTCAAATGAAAAAGGAAGAACCAACCCTTGCTATTGAGGCGATTCCAACTCATTGCATCCCTAGGTAGGGTTCTAGGGGGTCTCTGATGGCGTAGTGGGTTCGTATTGCGCAGGTCAGCAGTTCAAAACCATCTACTGCTCCGCGCAGGTGGAAGAGGAGGCTTTGTACTCCTGTAAAGAATCAGAGCAGGGGTGCTTATGCTTGGTCAGCATGAGAGCTACTTACAAAAAATGATCAAGTCAAAATGATCTACCAACTACAAAATGCAAAACATTTATGTATTTTTATTTATTACATTTATTCATAAATGCATTGAGAAGTCTTTATATGCACAATGTATGTTTATGTATGTACCTTGCATAACCGCATGAGTCCATATGGCACAACACAACACAATTAACTATGTACATTTTTCATTACCTGAGTTTACTCTGATGACTTGCACTGAATGGAATGAGCCAGGGATGCATAGTCCGGACAGGAGCTGCTGACAGCCAGCCTCAAGCACCCTTCCAAATGATCATCAGTCATGGTGGAACGGTACTTGGACATAATGATCTTTCTGTGGAAAAAGGCTGACTCACATAAATAAGGAGAGCCGAATAATGCAGTCAAGGAAGTAGCATTTTTTCTCATGTTTGGGTACTTTCCCCCTGCGAGGAAGTTCCAGAACTGTTCATGCGCTCTGGACTTCAGCTGAATGTCGGCTTGTAGAGTCAATACAAACCATTCCTTACGAAAGTGATACGTTTTTGTCTTCTTTCTTGGTCCAGCTCCCCCACTCATTTTAATACCCTTTCTTATGTTAAGAGGAAAAAAAACAAGGTCTAAAAACTGGTGATAAGTTAGCTTGTCAGTTTTACTGCACTTAGCGCAGCTGTTTGCGCATGCGTCTGACTCCTAAACTTGCATCTGATTGGCTGCGCTGTATATCAATTAAGTGACGGGATTAATGATAGGCTTACATCTATTTTTCTAATGCCATGCGATCTACCCACACTAGCGATCCATTAGATCGCGACCACGTATTGAGCACCCCTGGATTACAGTATTAGAAATTCACAGACGCAGTTATACTCTGTCCTGTAGGGTCGCTATGAATCAGAATTAACTCAAGGTCAGTGATCGTAGGGTACTTGAGGCGGTAAATCGTTGAAATGGGAGACCTTTATCTGGTAGCCAGCGGGTTACGCGTTGGTCTGTTAACCACAAAGTGAGCAGTTCGGAAACGAAAAGGAGGCTGCTGCAGAACCGAGCAGTGTCTTGAAACAAGAAAATGATACGGTTTGGGGAACCCACGGGGCAGCTCTTCCTTTTCCTACAGGGTCGCTCTGAGTCAGAATGTATTCGATGGCAGGGAGTTTAGTTTCGAGAATCTGACAAGATGCAACTGGTGGGTTTGAGCCGAAAGCCTTATAGTTAGCAGTCCAAAGATGACCCAACAGCGCCGCCACCAGGTCTCCAATACGGTCGGCAGAGGATGGTTGTTGTTTTAGGGGGTGGAGCTTTTAAGACTGCTGACAATTGGCGGGAACGGAAGGGCGCGCAGCAACGGAAGTGACGTACATGTCAGTCACTTGGCAGAGGTAAGATTACACGGCCTAGGATGCGGAATCATTGGCTGTTTTCTTCAGACCCCGCCCACCCAGCGGCTCAAGGCTCTTTGCTTCCGCCTCCTGGGCGGGTTTTGCGACATCCGGCCCACCGGGAGCTGAGCGCGCGTCTTCAGGAGCGTGGCCAGAGAGGGTGGGGAGAAGCGCAGAATTCGCGAGCAGTGATTGGCTGAGAGGGGGCGCATCCTGAACGCTGATTGGTTCCGTCCTTCGCGGGCCGGAGTTTGTGGCACCAGCGAGAAGTGGGTTTAGCGGGGCGGCCACAACCCGGTCCGGAGGAGACTTGCGGGGCCCCCTTGTCCTGGTGTCTGCTGAGCGCCTCACCGGAGGCAGTCGCGACCGCGATGTGGAATAGTAAACATGGGTGGGGCGGAGGCGGATGTGAAGAGCGTGGCGGGTTAGGGGGAGGAAGGGCCGGGGTCGGAGAGGCCCGGAAGGGTGCAGAGGGAAAGTAGGGCGACGCGGGGAGTGTTTGGGGTGCTAACCGGGCTGTTGTTGAACACAGGTGGATTTGAGAGCTACAGCAGCTCCTCCTATGGTGGCGCCGGCGGCTACACGCAGTCCCCGGGGGGCTTTGGATCGCCGACCCCTACCCAGACCGAAAAGAAATCAGTAGGTTCAAAGTGTTTCGTTTGGTTTTACCCAGTTCTAAAGCTCCCAGCTCGTCTGTGGGAAATGTATGCATCCATGATTACAGGTTCATATACCTGTAGCGAGGAGCTGTACGATTTAAAAACGAAATCTTCCCTATTTTTGCAGCCAAATTGGGCTGCTAACCACCAGGTGGGTGGTTCAGACTCATCAGCGGTTGCACGGGAGAGAGGTGAGGCTGCCTGCTCGGGTTACAGCCTCCGAGACCCCCGGGGGCAGTTCCACTCTGCCCTACAGGGCCGCTGAGAGACAGAATTCACTCCTCGGCAATGAATCTGGGTTGTTTTGCGGTGGGTTGGTTTTTTAGTTTCTTAGCTTTGTTTTGAAATTTATCAAAATAGCGAGTGAGCCTGCTTTGCAGGAACACTCCGAACTGGTGTTTACTAGCATGTTTTGCACTCTACATGTGTTCAAAGTCGTTTTTTAACTAGATGGAAATATGGGACCGGACTGGAGAACTTAGCCCTTGAACTCAGAGATCTGGTTTTTGGCTCTGACATTAAGTTTGCAGGTATCTTTGGGCAAATTTCTAAACCTTGGGGGGGTGGTCAATTTGGTGCCTGTTAAATAAGGTTAATAATTCACGCCTCACAAAGTGGTTGAGACTTAATATCGTGTTATATTGGATATTATATCTGTGAGGGCTTCATACATATATGTGAATTATAATATAAAAGCTTGTGGCAGAAAAAACAAAAAAAAAAAGCTTGTGGCAAAATCACATTATCTTTGAATTCTGATTTTTTTTATGAACTTTGTGAAATTCCTTTGTACTTAGTCTTGTGCCTGCCCCAAGGTTGCTTTCAATAAATGGTCTTAGTGTCTTACTATTGAAATAGATTTGGTATATACCAAAAGACATAGGCCTTGGAATCAGTTTTGCCATTTAACTCGAAATGTGACTTTAGTGAAACATCTAGAACAATGGTTCTCAACCTTCCTAACGCTGTGACACTTTAATACAGTTGCTCATGTTGTGGTGACCCTCCAGCCATAAAATTACTTTCGTTGCTACTTCATAACTAATTTTGCTACTGTTATGAATTGGGCGACTGCTGTGAAAGGGTCATTCGACCCCCAGGTTGTGAACCTCTGATCTAAAAGCTTGTGGGGTTTTTTTTTCTTGTCTGTGTAACGGTTTTAGTATTATTCATAGATTAATTGTGAAAATTTCTAATGTATTATGTATGTAGGAAGGTGATCTATAAAATGGTTGCTTTTAACAACTGCTCTGACTCCAGCCTATGAATACAGGGCTAATTTGCCTTGTTTAGTATCATTTCAGATGTGGTGTTACTGGTTCAGTAGAAGCATGTTTTTGTATAACTTGTTGATAATCCCCATACCCGTACACTAGAAATGGCTCTCTATAATGTTATATAGTCCTGCTGTTAATTTACTCCATCGTGTAGCGGAGATGCAGGGACGGCCCCAGCTTTGAAAGCTAATAAATAACAAAAACCAGGTAGCGCACCACCCTTGAGTCCTGTGTGCAGTTCGGTTGGTTCTGACTCAGCAATCCGATCGATGTTCCACAGGATGGAACACGGCCTGCACCTGCACCATCCGCAGGATTCTTTGCTATGTGTGAGCACATCGTGCCGGCCCATCTCCTTGAAGGTCTTTCCTCTTTTTCATTCACTCTCTGCTGAGCATGATGTTCTCCAGGGATTGGTCTCTTCTAATAACACATCCAAAGTATATAAAACAAAATCTTGCCATCCTTTTAAATTTTATTCTTAATTTATTGGGGGCTCGCACAACTCTTATCACAATCCATACATACGTCCATTGTGTCGGCACATTTGTACATTTGTTGCCATCGTCATTCTCAAAACATTTGCTTTCTACTTGAGCCCGTGGTATCAGCTCCTCGTTTTTTCCCCTCCCTCCCTCACCCTTGATATTTTATAAATTATTATTTTGTTATGTCTTATACTGTCCGGCATCTCCCATCATCTACTTTTCTGTTGTCCGTCCCTCAGGGAGGGGGTTATATGTAGATCCTTGTTGGTTCCCCCTTTCTACCCCACCTTCCCTCCGCCCTCCTGGTATTGCCAATCTCACCACTGGTCCTGAGGGGTTCATTTGTCCTGGATTCCCTGTGTTTCCAGTTCCTAACTGTGCCAGTGTAACATCCTCTGGTCTAGCCGGATTTGTAAGGTGGAATTCGGATCATGATAGTGAGGGGGAGGAAGCTTTAAATAACTAGAGGACATTTGTATGTTTCATCAGTGCTACACTGCACCATTACTGGCTTTTCTCCTCCCTGTGACCCTTCTGTAAGGTGATGTCCAGTTACCTACAGATGGGGTTTGGGTCCCCACTTCGCACTCCCCCTCATTCATGTGATTTTTTTTTGTTCTTTGGTGCCTGATAACTGATCCCATCGACACCTCGTGATCACACAGGCTGGTGTGCTTCTTCCATGTGGGCTTTGTTGCTTCTGAGCTAGATGGCCGCTTGTTTCTCTTCAAGCCTTTAAGACCCCAGACGCTATTATCTTTTGATAGCCGCGCACCATCAGCTTTCTTCACCACATTTGCTTATGCACCCACCCTGTCTTCAGCGATCTTGTCGGGAAGGTGAGCATCATGGAATGCCAGGTTATTAGAACAAAGTGTTCTTGCATTGAGGGAGCACTTGAGGTCCAATGTCCATCTGCTACCTTAATACTAAACCTATAAATATATGCACATAAATCTATTTCCCCATCCTCATGTATAAATATATTTACATATGTACATGCCTGTATTTAGACCTCTATAAATGCACTTTGCCTCCTAGCTCTTTCCTCTATCTCCTTTTACTTTCCTCTTGTCCCACTGTCATGCTCAGCCTTCATTTGGGTTTCAGTAATTCCTCTCTATTACATTGCCTTTGATCAAGCCCTGCCAGGCCTTCTACACCCTCCTCGCCACTGATTTTGGATCACTTGTTGGTCCCTTTCCCCTGGGTTTGTTAACACCCTTCCTTTCCCCCACCTCCCCCATGTGTAACACCCACCCCCGTCCCTAACCTTCAGTCCTGTTGTTTTCTCCTCTAAATAGTGTATCCCGCCTATCCTATCTACCCTGTTTCCCCGAAAGTAAGACATCCCCTGAAAATAAGACCTACTTACTGTTTTGCCTCTCCCTGAAATATAAGGCATTCCCCCCGAAAATAAGGCCCCCTGAAGCTACCGTAACTCTGGACTCTGGACCGTAGTGGTGGCGCTGCTGCGCAGCTCACTGTTGACTGCAGCGCAGCCAGAGCAGACAGGAAGTGCGAAGTCTCTTTTAATAAAACAATAAACAATGTGTACCGTATTCTTCTTCATGGAAAAATAAGACATCCCTGAAAATAAGATCTAGCGCATCTTTGGGAGCAAAAATTAATATAAGACACTTGTCTTATTTTCGGGGAAACAGGGTAGATAGACCTGCAGCGATATAATATGCACAACAAGACAGAGCAAAACAAAACAACAAAAAGCCAATGACACAAGAAAAGCCTGTAAGTAGTTCACGGAATGTTTGTTGACCTTTTCCATCCTTGCTTCTTTTTTTTTTTACCGTCCTTGCTTCTAAAGAGCATTCTTGTATTTCTTCCAAGACAGGCATGTTTGTTCTTCTGGCAGTCTGGGGTAGATTTCGTTTCAAAGGGTTCCATTCTTTTGCATCCCTCTTTATTCATTGTCTGGCTCTCACGTGCCTCTGAGGTGACTGAAAATACCAGGGCTTCTGTCCTGCACACCTTAGTTCACAAAGTGACCCCTAGGTCTTTAGCAACAGGTTTCCCCAGCGCAATACTTGTGAGTATGCACAGAAGCTGCACAAATGCAGAATTTGGTGAGCAGCCTCTTCTCTATTTGTAGTTGTCTTTTTACCAGATCGTACAGAAGAAATTCCAGCCCTCTAATTTTGCCTTGGGAGCCATGGTTGCATAGTGAGTTACTCGTCCATACAAGGTCAGTAGTTCAAAACCACAGGTGAAAAATGAAGCTTTCTAATTCCGAGAGTTACAGTCCCAGAAACCCACGGGAGGCAGTTCTGTCCTGTCCTGTCAGGTAACTGTGAGTCCAAATGGGCTCAATGGCAGTGGATTTGAGGTTTGTGAAGGAGAATTGTTTCTCATTCTTTCTCCCATACGTAATTACTTTTCTCTATTCCAGTTGTTAGAATTGGCATATTTATCTCAGAATCTTGACTCAAATTATGTGTTTAAAGTACTTTTTCAGAGAAAGATGGTAGATATAGGTTGAGGCCTCAAACCCAGGTCGTTTTGTTTTTATAGCTAATACGTTTTCCCGAGTAAATGAAATAAACAATGCTGTTTCAAATATTCTTTATTGAATATGAACCTATTATTTTTGGTTGAATCACTTGAAATTGCTGATTATTTTTATTTTTAAAAGGGTGATTTTTTTTTTTTTGGCCTTGTATTGCCCAAGTTGCCTATAATTCATGGTCAGCTGTAAAAGTAGTACTTGGCAGCACCTGCTATATACACTATATATATATTTCAATCACTTTTTCAGAAGAGGTGGAACTAGGATTTGAACATAGGCTTTTAGGACCATCTGGTTCTGAGTCCCGTGTTCTTACTCTTGTTGCCACATTGGCTCTTAGTTTTCTTACATTGAAGGTATAGTGAAAATCTCTACTGTGATAAGTGAAAACAGAAAATAAGGTAGCTGATTTGTGAGAGAGCCTGAGGCCCCTGACTTCAATAAATATGGTAACATAAAATTGAAAAGCAATTGCTTTTTTCACATCCTTTTTTAAAGCTGTGGCATACTTGAGCAATGAAGAACAAAAGTTAATGTGATGCAAATATTGAATGCTTCTGGCTTCCCAGATAATAGTCCAAGTGCATTGCCGTATTACATTTGGCTTTCAGATATCCAAGAGCACACTGCTATTGAGTGGTGGTGGTTGGCAGCCATCAACTAACCTACATGCGAATTCTTTTTTTACTGTTTGTTAGCTATATGACCTCGGTTTCCATCTTTGTGAAGCCAGGATAGTGGATTTTTTTTTTTAATCATTTTATTAGGGGCTCATACAACTCTTATCACAGTCCATACATACATCAGTTGTGTAAAGCACATTTGTACATTCATTGCCCTCATCATTCTCAGAACATTTCCTCTCCACTTAAGCCCCTGGCATTAGGTCCTCATTTTTCCCCTCCCCCCTCTTTTTTTTAATTTTTTTTAAGTCTTTAGTGTTAGGTCTGTGTTAAGTATTTGGCACATGCTGTCAATGTGATCCATACTTCTATTGGCCTTATGAACCCTGGTGCTGCCGCATCCCAAGGCTGGCATCCATGGAAGCAGACCCCCACAGCCTTCTCCTGTGGTTGAGAAGAGAGCCGGTGTGCAATGAGTGGTGCTGATTCTTCTCTCAATTGAACTCATGCATCTTTTTTTTTTTCTTTTCAGCGAGCCCGAGCCCAGCACATTGTACCCTGCACCATATCCCAGCTGCTCTCTGCCACTCTGGTCGATGAAGTGTTCAAAATTGGCAATGTTGAAATTTCACAGGTATGTAAAAAGCATTTGTGCTTCTTAATTGTTTAATCATAGGAAGAGCTTAATAAGACTTACATTGTTTTAAAACTGTGTGTAACCTTGGTGCCCAGGAAAACCAACCTTTTTTACCCTCTCCTCACTTAGGTCATCATTGTGGGGATAATCAGACATGCAGAAAAGGCACCAACCAACATTGTTTACAAAATCGATGACATGACAGCTGCTCCCATGGATGTTCGGCAGTGGGTTGACACAGATGTAAGCAATTGCTTTTAAATCAGGGTGGGTTCATTTGGGACTTTGGGAGTGCCACACTTTTTCTGTCTTAACTTTAAGATTTTTCCTTTTTTCTTAGGTTTTTCTTATAAAAATGATACATAAACAAGACATTATAGACAGACCCTAAAATAAAGGTTAATAGATGTGATATATTTTGATTATATAAAGGTATAAAACCTCCTAAATGACCCAGAATTCAAAAACTAAAGTTAAAACCCAAGTGACAGGAGACGCTAGAATGTAAACTACAGGAAAAGAAGTGTTTTCATCTTGTTCACCACTTGCTCACACACACACTAGAACAGTGCTAGTAACTGAGTCAATGACTATCTTGGTGAATGGGGAACTATGTGTAACATTACAAACCACTTTAAAATTTTAATTAATAAAAACTGTACAAACTGAAAAAAGCAACTGTGCACCTTAGGAAAATGGGCAAGAAGATGCACAGGTAATTCATCAAAGACAAAGTACCAATAGCAGCGACAAGAAACTTGTTAGGACAATCAGGGTCACTAAACATCGGGGTCCCATTGGCTCTTTCTAAGTTGGCACAAAAAGAGACTGGCAATGCCTGGTTCTATGAGAGCAGCAGCTAGCACGGTGCCTGGCGCTTATAGCTGCTTCGGTTTTTTTTAACGATTTATTGCTTGTATAGACATGGGGTACCATTCTACACAGATGTCATGGATACCCAGTAGTATAACTTGTCTCAAAGATAACCTGAATCAACATTGTCGATCAGTGGATGTTGTCCCACCAATTCCACTCCCAGGGATTTACATTCAAGAAATAATTTTAAATATGTAAGTTTCAACTATATGTTAATCATAGCATTTTTTTGTGCAGTAAACTCTGGGGCAGCCTTAACATGCTAGCAGTGGTTGTATAGTGGAAACACGTTGGACTGCTAACCCCAAGGTTACCGGTTCCAAACCACCAGCTGCTCTGCAGGAGAAAGATGAGGCTTTCCATTCTTTTGACGAAACCCACAGGGCAGACCTATCCTGCCCTATAGGATTGCTGTGATTTGGAAGGAACTCCATGGCGGGGAGTTTGGTTCCGTTTGTATCTTATAAAAACTGCAACTGATAAGGAAGTGTGTACTTTGTTACAAAGAGGTCTTTTTCATAAATCATTGAGGGGAAAACGCATGTTTAAGAATGATAGACTCCCATTTGCAAAGCAGCATGTTTAAAAACATGGAGAAACAGGTGTTGCTTTTTACCCTTTTAAAAAAGATCAGAAGGTTTGCTATTTTTGTTTTCCTTTTGAAAATATGTTCATTATTGAAAACTTGGATAATTTGTGTATGCTATTCTCACTCTACAAAGTACAAGAAAGCTGTGGAGTATTACCCCTCTGGAAAAGAGAAGCTAATTCATTCAAAAGCAATTACTGGAGTACCCGTTCTGAACTAGATTGTGCTGGGTTCCAGATAGACAAAGAGTCAAGGGCTCTGCCATCAAAGTGGGGGATAGATAACACAGATGCAACACGTCTCATACAGAATGCCCGTGCTTATTTTTGCCAAATTGTCTTTTAAAATTCTGAAGTCCCACAGATGACTACTGTTACAACATATTTTTGTACATAGCCTCTCAGACATCTCTCTGCATCTCTCTAAATTCAGGTGTGTGTGCAGTTTTACATCAAAGGGAGAATATGGTATGCCGCTGCTCTGTAGCCTGTTCACTCAACTGTCACAAGCTTATTTCTTAGGGTTATATCTTCGAGTTTTCCCCACCACTTATCTGTCAGTTTGTTGTACTGTGGTGACTTGTGTATTATTGTGATGCTATCTCACTGATATTTGAAATACCAGCAGTAACCCAAAATGAACAGGCTTCAGCAGGACTTCTGGACTAAGAACAGACTATGAAGAAGAATAAGCAGCCTGATCACTTAGGGATTAGCCACTGAAACCCAATGAGCAGAAGCAGAATGTAGTCAGTACCCGAAGACGAGCCCCTCAGGGCCTCAGGCACTCAGAACATGACCAGTCAAAGTGGAGTCGGCCAGACGGTGCGGCTGGAGTCAAGCCAGCAGGAGTCAGCCTTCCGGATGTCCCTTTGCTGAGGGTGCACACCTCACAGTGATCCGAAATAGTGGCAAACACCAGTTATTAGTTGAAGCTTCGAACGTACGAAGTATGAATCTAGGAAAATAGGAAGTCGTGAAAAGTGCAGGGAAACAAAGATCGCTCCTCTAGGTGTTACTTGTCTGCATACGAGGAAATCCAGGCAACACTCAGTTTGCAGTCAAGATTATCCTGAGACTCGTTTTAGGATTCGTCAATGTCTAGGGTCCATGAGAATTTGAAATTCTCTTCTGCATTTTCCCTCCTTTGATTAGGATTCTTTAAAGAATAAAATCAGCTTACATATTTTTCCTTGTAACTTTGTTCCAATTCTCCAAAAATGATTCCTTACTATCCATGTTAACATTGTGAGGCATATTTCCCTCCACAGAAGGTCATACTCTGTGTGGTTTATTGTTGGCTTTTATTTATTGATTTACTTTATTACTCTGTAGTTTTGTAGTCAACGTTTGTCTTCTGAGACAATAAGGATTCTGTAAGTATATCATTTCAATGGTTGTAGAATATCCCCTTACTTGAATGTGCACCTGTTCGGTATTTCTGTTATTTTACATTCTGTGGTGTTCTAAATGTGCTATGATAAATATTATAGTTACTTCTTAAAGCTTGGGTTTTGTGTGGGTTTTTTTTCATTATTACCGAACGTTTCTAGAAGTAGAATTTTCCCAATAAGTATATCCTCCAGAAACTGAATTGCCTGAAAGCATTGAATGCGTTTTTAGTGACTACAAAACTTAGAACTTTGAAGTTGAAAATTACCTTTATAGGTACGTGTATTCTATTTTCCTTATTTTACAAAATAGTGCAATTCAAAAGTGGAAACTAGTTATGGCCATCTCGGGGTTTTAGTTCTACTTGCTCTTTCTGTACAGAGTCTACCAATTTTACAGTGACTTTCCACCAACAGCACTTAGCCTCGGTGTCTTTCTGTTAGGACGCGAGTGGTGAAAACACGGTGGTTCCGCCCGAGACGTACGTGAAAGTGGCTGGCCACCTGAGGTCTTTCCAGGTGAGTCATGGTCAGAATGAAGTGACAGTGGAATATATTGGCATCAAGCATTTTCTGGTTTTGTGTCTGTTAGATCCTTCATTATACTTCACGTTTAAAGGGAGAATACTGACGTAATTCCATCATTCAGAAGAAGATAACTTTGTGGTCACTGTAATAGAAACAGGATGGTGGGAAAACCAGGTTCTCCCCTCCGAGTTCAGCTAGAGTCAAAAGACTCGATTGCTGACAGCTGGGTTTGTTGAAGTCCCCCATTAGTAGCTGTATTTGTTTTGTTTTGTTTTGTTTTTAAACATTTTATTAGGGGCTCATACAACTTAGCGCAATCCATACACACATCAATTGTGAAAGCGCATTTGTACATCATTCTCAAAACATTTTCTCTCCACTTAAACCCCCAGCATTAAATCCTCATTTTTCCCTCCCTCCCTGCTCCCCCCTCCCTCATGAGCCCTTGATAGTTTATAAATTGGTATTTTGTCATATCTTGCCCTGTCCGACGTCTCCCTTCACCCACTTTTCGGTTGTCTGTACCCCAGGGAGGAGGTCACATATAGTTCCTTGTAATCGGTTCCCTCTTTCCTACCCACTCTCCCTCTACCCTCCCTGTTCCACCACTCACACCACTGGTCCTGTAGGGCTCATCCGCCCTGGATTCCCTGTATTTTCAGTTCCTATCTGTACCAGTGTACCTCCTCTGGTCTAGCCAGACTTTCAAGGTCAAATTCGAGTCATGGTAGTGGGAGCAGGGAGGAAACATTTAGGAACTAGAGGAAAGTTGTATTTTTCATCGTTACAAGGGGATCTCCAGTGGCCTACTCATGGGCTTTGGGTCTCCACTCCGCACTCCCCCCATCATTCACTATGGTAAGATTTTTTGTTTTGATGATGCCTTATACCTGATCCCTTTGACACCTCGTGGTTGCATAGGCTGGTGTGCTTCTTCCATGTGGGCTTTGTTGCTTCTGAGCTAGATGACCACTTGATTACCTTCAAGCCTTTAAGACCCCAGACACTACTTTTTGATAGCCGGGCACCATCAGCTTTCTTCGCCACATTTACTTATTCACCGCTTTGTCTTCAGCGGTTGTGTCGGGAAGGTGAGCATCATAGAATGCCAATTTACTAGAAGAAAGTATTCTTGTGTTGAGGGAGTACTTGAGTGGAGACCCAATGTCCTTGTTTTGTTTTTTAACTTGACCATTTGAATTAAGCCTGGGTTAAAATATATAACTTTTCCATCTTGGCAAAATACTATCAGAAAAGCCAAGTGTATTGACTTGAGTGTGCTTATCTTTTTCCTTTCCTTTTAATAGAATAAAAAAAGTCTGGTGGCTTTTAAAATCATGCCCCTGGAGGATATGAATGAGTTCACCACCCATATTTTGGAAGTGGTCAACGCGCACATGATGCTGAACAAACTGAGCAGCCAGGTGAGTGCCTTCCCTGGAGCACTTTCTCTCTCCCCGAGAAGAACATAACTGCTTGTGCACTTGGGTTCCTGTGGTATTTTGAATGTTGAGTCATTCCGCACAACATTGTTTCAACCACTAAGCTGTTTGAAGACTGCTAGCCTGAGAAGCCGCTCACTCTTACTGAGTCCCTTCTGACTGAGGACAGAGGAGCACACTGCCCCAGAGTGTTTCCAAGGCTGTAAGTCTTGCCCATGACTTTGTCTGAGTGCTTAGTGGTTCAAACCACCAACCTTGCCATTAGCAGCTATGAGTCTGAAAAGAATCATAAGTTTTGTTTTGTTTTTAACTTCTAAGATGTAGGCATTTAATGAAGGTTGTTGTAGGAATAACTTAATGACTTGTTCCCTTGTGATCTTCCACTGGGTGTATTTGATCCTCTATCATTCTTCTTATTAAGTTCAACAGGTTACACCTTGACTGAGTGTGCACTGTGTGTATGCCACGCACTGTGCAAAGACGAGGGGGGTTTTACGGCCAATAATGCACTGCGTGTTGGGATAGGATAGGGGCCAGGTGCTTGGAGGGAAGACTTGAGGATGCCAGTTGACTGAGTGTATATGGGGATATTAAGGAACGCTTTCCAGAGGCAGGAGTTGGGCTGAGAAGAGTGGTTGCCAGATAGGAAAAGGGAGAAGCGCATGCTCAGGCCAGAGGCATGTTTGCAAGTGAAGTTAAAAAGCAGCCCAGTGCAACTGAGCAGTGTGTTGAGGAGGAGTGGTCAACAACGAAGGAGAGCCTGAAAACTAGTTGACTGGGCTTCAGCGGTGTGCCTAGGAGGGTGTTCTGTTGTCAGTAGAGGGAGCCACTGAGGCCCTTGGTCAAAGGAGGTTGCTAAGGAGGTAGCGTTGTGCAGGGTTTTAAGTGGAATAGGAGTCTCAACCTTCCTCTTGCTGCGACCCGTTCATACAATTCCTCGTGTTGTGACCCCCACCCCCCAACCATAACATTATTTTCGTTACTTCATAACTCATTTTGCTACTGCTATGAATCGGGTGACCCCTGTGAAAAGGTCGTTCCACCCTCAAAGGGGTCGCGCCGACCCACAGGTTGAGCACTGCTGGTCTAGAGTTTGAGTTCCCAGTCAGGAGGCCAGACGTGGCTAAGATTCTTGGCCTGTGTGGGAGGTGAGAAAATGGAGATTTTCAGAATACTGCGGTCTGCAGAATTGGGTTGGGTTTACTAATTGGGGCAAACAGGTTTGGTAAGAAAAGTGATAGGATTAATTTTGAAGTGTCTGGGAGGTATCCAGGTAGACACGTGCAGTAGATTGGAATAAAGGCCTGTGTCTTGTGGGTGTGGGTCGGATGAAATCTTGGGAATGTTCAGTTGATGAGGGATACTGAGTAGTTTTGAGAGGTGAATGGGGACCTAGGGAAAAAAAAATGCCATTAGTCATAATAGTCCAGTTGTTCTCCACTGTGGGTCGTGACCTCTTTGGGGGGGTCAAATGACCCTTTTACAGGGGTCGCCCAATTCATAACAGTAGAAAAATTAGTTATGAAGTAGCAACGAAAACAATTTTATGGTTTGGGGTCACCGCAACATGAGGAACTGTATTAAAGGGTCAAGGCATTAGGAAGGTTGAGGACCACTGTGATAGATTCGGATCTCAAGGAGGGCGGGAAATGTGGAATTGAAACTCAGAGTCATGGAAATCAGACTAATTCTGTTGAGACTTAGAATCCTGAATCTAATGTCTGCAAAAAAATCTCTAAACCTTAAACCAGAACTGTCCCTTGAAGCCATGGTTAAACTAAACAATGGTTGAGCCAAAAGAATAGACTTGCTGCCTGGAGCATAGTGCTATTAGAAAGAGTTCCTTCTGTCCCCACAGCAGTTCATTTAAAGCACACTGGAGACATTTCAAGGGCAGAGAGCCTATTAAGTAATGATGATAAAAAACAACCTGGGTAGAGATAGAAGGAGACACAATAGAAATGTGCTGGGCTTTGAACCTGCTTCTTCCAGTTGGACCTTGTACTGAGAATTTGCATTTCCACCCTAGATATCCTGAATCAGAATTGATGTTTTAACAAACTTCCCAGCTGATTCTTCCTGTAGATATGTAAGAATGTGTACACAGGAGACGTGCTGACTCCCCCATCATACATTAAGCCTCGTGGGCTCTCAGTAGAACTTGAGTCATTGGGATAGCAAGTCTCCAGGTGCTTGTCCTCTCAGGACTGTTACTCCTCTGGCTTCTCTCCCCGTCAACACAAAGCGCCACCTTTCTCCCACCTTGGGGTGTTCATGTGCTTCCACAGGGTTATTTTACCCTTCTAGGAAATACTCGTTAGATAACAGATGTCCCTTCCCATGTAAAAAAATTGCTACAGGGAAAATTCTGTGCTTAAACATTTGCCTGTTAGGGTTTTGTTGTTTTGTAAAATTAACAAGCTGTTGATAAAGCAAAAGTTTTAACTTGGTGAACAATCTAATGTGAGCTTATTTTTTAACTCAGCCCTCAGCAGGGAGAGCACCTATCAGTAATCCAGGAATGGGCGAAGCAGGGAACTTTGGTGGGAACAGCTTCGTTCCAGCAAATGGCCTCACCGTGGCCCAAAACCAGGTAAGCTGCCTGAATGGCTCCAGGAGTGTGAAGCACCACCAGCCCTAAATTGTGTGATCTCCTCGATGATTTAAGTCCTCACCGAGGTCTCTTTCCTGCACACCGGTTTGGGAATCTGGTTTATGCGTGGTTGCTAGAATTTTTGTCTGATTTGATTCTTCAGGTACTGAATTTGATTAAAGCTTGCCCAAGACCCGAAGGATTGAACTTTCATGATCTCAAGTCTCAGCTCAACTCCATGAATGTGTCCTCCATCAAGTGAGTAGTTTTCTCGCTGATGAGAAATGAGCTAAACCAAAGTAACTTGACTGAAACCTGATTAGGGTGGATTTGGATCAGCCATGATAGTAGCTTTTAAGAGTCCCAAAGTTGAAAGAAACAGCCTGTGTATATATATACACACAGCCTATCTCCAGAAAGGAAATCAGCAACAATATCCTGTTAAAACCCCGGGAGGTGGTTCTCCTCCCCCACCCACCCCCCAGTGTACCCAGCATCATTTCATTTGTGCAGCCCATCGCTGGGCTCCCATTATGTACTGGGGATCTAATTTGGGGACTTAGTTTGAAGGAGTGAAGTCTTAGTTCATGGATCAGATATTACAGCCCCTTTGGCATTACTGTCCCTCTTGTGCAGGTAAGTGTGTCTAACCCTAAAGCCATTAGTCAGGACTACCAGCCCCCTTGCCCTAATTTTGGGTTCCACAGCAGCTCCCTGGTTCCCAATGTTCTGAGTTAACCAGATCAGCTGAGTAGTGTGGTCCTTGTGACAGTGACTCTTCTGGTAAATCAGTTGGTGGAGATTTCAGGTAGAAATTTCTTTCTACTCATACCAGCCCTGTAGGGCAGTAGAACTGCCGTCTGGGTTTCAAAGGCAGTGGTCTTTGCAGAAGCAGACCGCCACATCTTTCTCCCGCAGTGTCCGCAGGGCTCAAACTGTCTAGCTTTTCCATGAGGGGCCGACATCACTGCACCACCATAGAAAAGACCTGCTGAGGGCTGATGCTGTTTTCTGCCCTATCGAGTGAAGAGAGTCATTCCTGTCTCAGGCGTGGTGATGAAGGGACACAGACTCCTTAGCACAGTGGGTGTGTGTAAACTGTCAACTTTTGGTATCAGTTGTGATTGACAGAGGGCCTTACAGCAGTGGTCACACCATTTCTAGAAAGACCTATTCTTTTACTTCCTGCAACATCTCTGGGGAGCCAGAGCAGTGGAGTGGGGACGGCAGCAGTCACAGCAGTTGTATTTATTTGTGTGCACGCCGGGTTGCCCGTACACAATTTGGGGCGATCGCTGCAGCCCCCGCACCTAGCCACCATCTGCAGATGACCTCAGGGCTGCGGTTTGGCCAGCACGTCTGTGAGACCCTCCTGTGAACAAAGGGGCCGTGAGCTCTTCTGAGTCGATTAGAAATGAGGAGTGGAGTGGAGTTTACATTTACTCGGCCAGACTGAAAGGCAGCTTTCCCAGAAAGCATTTTACTCTCTTCCCTGCAAATGACCCCGCGTTTCTGCCTTCTTTTCTAGGCAAGCTGTGGATTTTCTCAGCAATGAGGGCCACATCTATTCCACTGTGGACGACGAACATTTTAAATCCACAGACGCAGAATGACCGGCGCTCATTGGGACCGAAGATACCGTGTAGCTGGATCTGTTTTCACAGCCTGTGGCATCCAGCTGGGCGTAGTATCTGTCAGTCGACTTCTCGGAAGTGGGCTTCATCTAAGAAGTCTCAACGTCCCTTTGAAACTTGCTCTTCGTTTTTTGTTTTGTTTTTTGTGGCGCTTGGTCATTGACGGATGTAACGGGGTGGGCTGTCTTGGGAAGGTTACAAGTGCACTAGTTCAATTTCAAGATAGAATTGACAAAGAGATGCTACCAAAAAGAATTGGCCAGTTTTATACTTCCCCAAATGTTTCCTTGTTAGGAGAAAATGAGCAAGACTAGAGCCCCATGGCAGGGAGCTAGCCCAGGGACCTGCGAGGCTCTGCCTGGTTTTGTTGCCCACTTTGGTTACGTGAGTTAACGTCTATAAGAATCGCCCTTCCTGCAGCCTCATCATGACTGCTGCTGAAAGCGTGTTGCTGTGGGTGTGAGGTGCTGGCCCAGTGGGCCCAGCAGAGGAAGACATGGGACTGTGTGTGACGCTCAAGTGAGGGCAGCCTCACGGTTAATAAAACTGTTTATATGGGACACACGGAGGCTGCTGCTTTTCTTAGCTGGTATAATTCCTGTTTACTCATCTGAGGCCATGTGGCAGCGTGAGCCCTGACTTTGAGTGTTGGGTATTCTATTCCCCTCTTTAGTTTTGATCTTGAGCAAGCTGCATCAGCTATGAGCAACTCCATTTCCTCATTTATTGAGCGGACAGGGTTTATTTCTTCATAGACTGTTGTGAAGATTGAATGAAATAAAGTCTGTAAAGTAGCCTTGCCATTAGTAAGTGGATTCTTAGGTGAGCCCCGTCCACCCGGAATGCTTAGCTAGATGTGATCGTGTAACTACCATTTGACTTCAAGGTTCGGACTTTGAAAGGTCTGTGGCTAGCTAGTCCTTACCCAAGCTGACCAGGTGTTGTGGGAAAGTAAATTACATTCCAGAAGTGGGTGACACTTTGAAAGAACCAATTTTGAGATGATACAGAGGTAACATGCAAATGAACTCTGTCATCGGCACTAGCACAACTGAGAAGTCTGCCAGTTTCTAAATGAGAGCCCCCAGCAGCTGTGAAGACGGTGCCCGCCCGACACTCCCAGTTTCTAATGGTGACTTGTTTTTTACACACACAAAGCAGTTTCCATTCTGGGAGCTATGAATTACTTAAAACCCAGTCAACCAATTCATTTATTTGCAAGTATTTCCATTCTTGATTATTTTCTCAACAAAAGGCAGTGGATAAAAGCAGGTGTACAAAGAATTGTCATCTGGTTTCTGAACCCTAGCAAGAGAGCAGGCCAAGCCATTTGTAGAGGAACGAGGCCCCATTCTTTATAGAGCTCCGACTTGCATTTGGGGCATGTATGGTCACCTTAGCATGCTGTTGACACAGCAGGAACTGTGAGGACTTCTCTCCTGAAGCAGTGAGCTGACCCAGCACCGCCCCCAAACCCACGGCCACTGACGAGACTCCAGCTGTGTTCACTCAGCGCATGTTGCCTTTGGTTTTCTTTCAGAAGTTGTATTAGCACTTCACAGGTCTTACAACTCAATAATTCCTCATATGAGCAGTTTCTCAGCCATCTACTTCAGTACTGCTGTCGCTGGGCTGTTTGGGGAACGCAGGCTCCTCCATGCCCTTGGATCCACCTGACGTCGGTGGGGAAGTGCGGCACCTTGGGAAATCTTTTAGAAGGCTAACAGACCGTAAGAATTGGCATCTCGTGGTGTCATCGGCACCTTGGGAAATCTTTTAGGAGGCTAACAGAAAGACCGTAAGAATTGGCATCTCGTGGTGTCATGGGTGTGTTTTGTTTGGCTACAAAACGATAGAAACTTATTAAAAATAACAAAATATGAAGCTCTTGTTTCTCAATCCCCTCGTCTGGGGTTATACACTTTTTTTTTATTTTAATTTTCAAGCAAAGAACATTACGTTTTAAATTGGACAAGGTTAAGACAACTGGAGACATCATCCGGATGGCGGAGACGTGTTAGTAATGGTGTCTAAAGTTTTTCTGGGATACAGAACTTAAAAGAATATGGGAGGTTTAAAGAGAACTGTCTCAAACATTGGTGGCTAGTTGTTTTTTTGTGTGTTTTTTAAAGTCATTTTATTGGGGGCTCATACAACTCATCACAATCCATACATACATCAATTGTATAAAGTACATTTGTTAC